ATCAAAAGTCCCACCCATCCAAAGTCCCACCCATCCAAAGTCCCATCAAAAGTCACACCCATCCAAAGTCCCATCAAAAGTCACACCCATCCAAAGTCCCACCCATCCAAAGTCCCACCCATCCAAAGTCCCACCCATCCAAAGTCCCATCAAAGGGGCATGAGAAAAAAAAAAAAAAACCCACACTTTAAAAACACGTGTTCAAAAATACAAAACACGTTGTGAAACCGCAGAATTTACATTCTACATAGATGTGAACCTAGCCTGATATCACTCAGCCACTCCGGATTCTGGGGCAGTAAAGTTGCCAGAAAAGAAAGGTCCCCCTGCAAGCTCATGTCATGCCAGGAGTGCACTGTCACCGCTGACAGGGATTCTGTCTTCAGCTGCTCTTCTCCCGGCTAAAGCAGCCAAATTTCGATCCATCTATGACCGGCTTAAGAGTAGAGTAGAGTAAAGAAGTGAGAGGAGAAAAATAAAATAAAATTTTTTCTAGGGGGAATTTATCGACAGGGGGAGCAGGGAAAAGGAGAGGGAAAGAGGTGGGGGGGGGAGCAAAAGGGGGAGGAACCACGTTCCAGTAACCATGTGGTATGCTGGGACAGCGAGGAATAGCCAAGCCATGGCTGCCAACAGGAGAGAAGTTTATTGTGTGTATCTTTTAAGATTGCTATCAACTTCTCATTGACAAATGTGCTCCGTCTGTTAACCTCTTAACGTCGATAAAGTTGAAAGATATGGACCGGCGGGTGTCAGCGAACGAGTGTCCACTGACACCCGCCGGCAAAGGTGTCAAACTGGCAGCCCTCCAGCTGTTGCCAAACTACAAGTCCCATGAGGCATTGCAAGATTGACAGTTACAAACGCGACTCCCAAAGGCAGAGGCAGGATGGGACTTGTAGTTTGGCAACAGCTGGAGGGCTGCCAGTTTGACACCCCTGCTCTACGCCAAAAACAGATGATCTGGTGGATCGGATGGCAGTAAAACTGACAGGCGGTCTGATTCCATCCAACTGCTCTATAGAAGACAGTTGGCTGTGTCTGCTCTGCAGCAGCGGAGCGGACACAGACCTGCTCAGTGAGGATCAGTGGTGAGACCCCCCCCGCTGAGCAGACGGATCCGCTGACGGGTCAGCCCCGTCTGAAGGGGGCCTTAATGCCACTGACATCACTGGACCTCACATCTGGGGAAGGCTGAGAATAGCAAATCTCCCAAGAAGATGCTCCAGCACTACGTGGCAGTGCATGGCCACGGAATTTGGAACCCCTAACCTTTCCCTGGATCTCCTGAGAAGACCCAATCATGTCATCCTACAAGAAGCTTTTTCTTTACTCTCCTGTCACTCCAATCAGCTGATAAAATTCACAGTATTTCTAGACATGGAACACGTGACACGTGGGGGAGATTTACTAAAACTGGCGCCCTTAGAATCTGGTGCAGCTGTGCATGGGAGCAAATCAGCTTCTACCTTCAGCTTGTTCAATTAAAGCCAAGCTCCAGCCGAAGCTCCATTTTTTCTGCCTCCCCCCACCCCTCCGCTGCCACATTTGACCCCTTTTGGGTGATGGGAGCAGATCTTTGGTTTTGACAGGTACCCGCTCCTTACTTCCGGCTGAGTTCGCCACGATGAGGGAGTCCTGGTGTCTTGACCTGAAAATGTAAACTACAGCAAAATGATCTGAGCTTTGGTGCATTCATCTCTCTTGGTTTCCATCATTCTTACAACATGACCTGTCCATCATTGGCAGTGACTTTGAACACTTTTTTTGAGATCAAACCTATTGTGTTTATTATTTTCCATATCATCTCCAGTCTCAATAGTTCATCTTCAAATGGTGGTGCGGAATTTCAGGTCGGTTCCTTTCATTCTCTCTTCGTATTCCATGTCAAACATTTTACTCTGGGATTCTGTGAAGTGATTCCTCCAGTCTCCGACTTGGCCTAAATTAACAACGCAAAGCTAGTAAGGTCAACCAGCAAAAGCATATAGAGATCCTCAAAGAACCTCAAAGAAAAATACAACTGTGGTGCAGGGGTGGAGTGACAACTCATGGGGCCCCAAGGCAATAGGGCCCCTGTGCCCTTGTCCACTCCCAAAAAAAGCCTATGAAAAAGGTACCAGGGGCATCTCATGGGGCCCCCTATTGACCCCAGGACCTCAGGCAGTGTCCGAGTGCTCGAACGGTCAGTCCGCCCCTGCTGTGGTGACATGAACATCGAAAAGGTCCTCCTGTGGAACCTTGTAGGCATCAGATCCCCAGTCCTTCACTTGTCAGTCTCGGGAGCAGGACTAATCATGACTAAGCTGATATGATACAGGCAGTCCCTGGGTTATGAACAAGATAGGCTCTGCAGGTTTGTTTTTAGGTTGAATTTGTATGCAAGTTGGAACAGATAATTTTTTTAATGCAACTCTAGCTGTCATGTTTCACATAGCCCCACCCCTTTTCCCAGGAAGGCATTTCAGCTTCAAGCCTCAGGTCATGAAGCAGATCACTTTATGATCTTTTGACCTATCCGATGTTCATTGTTGTGAAGTTTATTCCATAAACTGAGAGAATCTTACAAGATCTACAAGGTGTCATCTGAGTCACTGCCTGTGTTATTCAACTAAGATTGGAGTTATCACTATCTCATCACAACTGTAAGTTACAGAGATCACACTTTCAATGCTTAGATTGGAGAGAAAACACCAGCCAAAAAAAAAATGATTTTTATGTTTTGGATAGCATAGGGATAGCATAGGGAAGAGTTAACTGGCCATGCAGTGATGTGGGATTGCTGACAGGCCTGCCATACAGTAGGTGGCAGCATGCGGTGAGCAGCAAGATGGCCGCTCAGCGGTTTCTGGGAGCAGCATGATGTCATGTTGCCTCTGTTCTTAGGTATAAGTCGTATGTAACTCAGGGACTGGCTGTAGTTTCACACACTCTTACTTTTTTACCTCTGTGCCTATATATTTTGGGCATTCTGTTTTTGTTGTTGCGTTTTCTTTGTTCATTCTCTCTTCCAGACTCCAGTCTGGAACTACGTAGTCTCTGAAGACTTATATCACCTCCCAATGGTATTTACCAGTTCCTCATGCTAGTCATGTGACGACCTGATTGGTTTGTTACCAATCCCCTGTATCTTTGCAACCCTGACTTCTTTGACTCCTAATTTTACCAGATCCTTTTCTCATTTCATGCTCAGTATTTGAACTGAACTTGAGCATCAGACCTACTGTATGTAGCCTGACCTAAGCTGTACATCCACATCAGAGTTTAGCCTGTCCGCTACCTTGACTTTCTCTTTGGTATCTGTGTTCATCTGTCTACCACTGGCCCTAATCTTTGGCTTGCATATCATAGTTGCATACTACCTTCCTTCAGAAGTCACAAGGCTACTTTTCTGCCTGAAATTCTTTACCTTTCCGAGGGAAAGACCCAAGCGCCAAGACCTGGGAATATCATAAATCACAGGCCAAATCTCTATGGGTAGCTACCTGTTGAAGATCAGGACCACTTGGTGATTTGGTGGTAGCCTCTTGCCTACCTCTGGTAAAGCAGGAAACAAGCTACAATGCCCCATCTGCTGAAACTCTCTGGCTCTGGAACCTGTTTCTGGCTCAGGATTCCCCACTCCATCCTGGCATTTGGTTCCATTGCTCTTTTAAATCATAAGTATGTTATACAAGTGGGCATAATCTGCTTGCAAACATCACCAACTTTTCCCATGAAGGGCAAGATATTCTGGTCAAACGCAATATTTGGAAGGGTGGAATTATTGGCTATTGCGTTTTCCTTCATGGTTTCAAATGTTGTGTGGTGAAAGATCTTTTCCAGCACTTGTTGTGTTCATTTCTCTACTACTGGCCCTAATCTTTGGCTTGCAGATCATGGTTGCACGCTACCGGCCATGACCTACTTGTCTTCAGAAGTCACAAGGCTACTTTTCTGCCTGAAATTCTTTACCTTTCCAGGGGACAGACCGAAACGACAAGACCTGGGAATATCAGAGCACAGGCCAAATCTCTATGGGTAGCTACCTGTTGAAGGTCAGGATCACCTGGTGATTTGGTGGGAGCCTCTTGCCTACCTCTGGTAAAACAGGAAACAAGCTACAATGCCCCATATGCTGAAACTCTCTGGCTCTGGAACCTGTTTCTGGCTTTGGATTCCCCACTCTGTTCTGGCATTTGGTTCCATTGCTCTTTCAAACCATAAGTCTGTTATACAAGTGGGCATAATCTGCTTGCAAAACATCACCAACTTTCCCCATGAAGGGCAAGATATTCTGGTCAAACGCAATATTTGGAAGGGTGGAATTATTGGCTATTGCGTTTTCCTTCATGGCTTCAAATGTTGTGTGGTGAAAGATCTTTTCCAGCACTTCTTGTGTTTATCTCTCTACTACTGGCCCTAATCTTTGGCTTGCAGATCATGGTTGCACGCTACCGGCCATGACCTACTTGTCTTCAGAAGTCACAAGGCTACTTTTCTGCCTGAAATTCTTTTCCTTTCCGAGGGAAAGGCCCAAGTGCCAAGACCTGGGAATATCATAGAGCACAGGCCAAATCTCTATGAGTAGCTACCTGTTGAAGATCAGGACCACTTGGTGATTTGGTGGGAGCCTCTTGCCTACCTCTGGTAAAAGCAGGAAACAAGCTATAATGCCCCATCTACTGAAACTCTCTGGCTCTGGATTCCCCACTCTGTCCCTGCATTTGACTCCCATGCTCACATCAATTATTTAAATCCAGATACTTTTCAGCGGGCATAAACCAGTTGCAAAACATCCCCACCTTTCCTCATGAAGGGCGAGATGGTCTGGTCAAACACAATATTTGGAATAGTGGAATAATTTGCCATTGGGTTCTCCTTCATGACTTCAAATGTTGTGTGGTGGATGACCTTCTCCAACACTTCTTCTGAGAGGTTCTTCCCCAGAAACTTCATCACCTTTCGGATCTCTCGTTTGGGGTCCTGTTCATAAAAGTAAGAAGCTTTAGGGACAATTATCATGAACATAACCAACAGAGGAGAGCTCCCCAGCACACACCATCCCGTATATTGATTTCCTGTAAATGGAACAGTGACACTCAATAGATTACTGGATCGTGTTTTTTGAGATCAGGTTATTTTGACAGTATGTTAAAAAAAAAAAAAAAAAAAAAAAAGAGTCTTATCCCATGAAATCTCTTTTCCCCAGCTCACCTCCTTTATATCTTCATAAAACACATAGAGGATGTCGTGCTTGTCTTTCTCATTCCACCAGCCGATCACGTGATCAAACCAGTTTCCCCAGGCCACTATGAAAGGAAAGAATGTGAGCCATAGTCAAAACTCAGCCATTTTCTCTGGGTCCGGAGTCCTCTAAGTGCACTTTATTTGCTGAAAAGAGCTTTCCGGCGTGCAGTCAGTTGTTTGCGGTTATATCCCATTGTTCCCATTTGTGTCAAGTGAATATTTTAAGGCTTTATAAATAAATGATACATTCCCAGTCTTTCATTGACACACTTCCTCTGCAACACGTTGCAGAAAAAAGAATGTACTGTGAATGAACTATATACAGACTGACTAGACATAATTCCAATGCAGGTTTCTTAAAACAAGAAAGCTTCTGGTGAAAAAAGTTTTGGGGTTCTCATGTCTCAAAGTCCTATTCCCAGGACTTTGTTTCAGTGGGAACAGGGGGGATGTAACGCAGTTCCAGCACTGAATGTAAGTAATGGCAAAGTGTGCTAGGGTGTGCTGGAAGGTCTACTGATGCTGGCTTCTGGGGGATCTATTGTCACAGGAGGGGGCCTATTTTTGCACGGTGGTCTATTGTTGCTGATGGGGGATCAATTGTTGCTGGAAGGAAACTACTGTTGAGGGAGGGGTCCATTGTTTCTGGTTACTGGAGAGCAGTGGTGTATTTAGGTTTTATGCTGCCCTAGGCAACACAAAAATTGCCTCCCCCCCTTCACGGAGAGACCATAACACCGACCAACACCTCCATCTCCCCCATGAAGAGAGCCTGACATTGACCAACACCACCGCCCCCCATACACTGGCAATCCTCCACACCCCGGGAAGAGATAAGACACTCACCTTCACAGCTCCGGAAGTCCCTGGGAACAAGAGTCAGGTTCTGCATACACCATCAAGCTGCCCGCAGCCTCTCTCAGATCCCACCTGGTCCCCACGCTGCGTGTGTCCCTTCTTCCATCCCTTCTTTCAGGGGGGGCAGCGCTGCCCCCCTGAAAAATGCTGCCCTAGGCAAATGCCTTGTGTGCCTTGTGGTAAATACACCCCTGCTGGAGAGTCTATTGATGCTGGCTGCTGGGGGATCTATTGTCACAGGAGGGGGCCTATTTTTGCACTGTGGTCTATTGTTGCTGGTGGGGGATCTATTGTTGCTGGAAGGAAACTACTGTTGAGGGAAGGGTACGTTGTTTCTGGCTAGTGCAGAGTCTATTGATGCTGGCTGCTGGGGGATCTATTGTCACGGGAGAGGACCTATTTTTGCACGGTGGTCTATTGTTGCTGGGTAGGTCTATTGTTGCTGGTGGTGGATCTATTGTTGCTTGCAGGGATCTACTGTTAAAGGGAGGGGTCTATTGTTTCTGGCTACTGGAGAGTCTATTGATGCTGGCTGCTGGGAGATCTGTTGTTGCTGCTGGGGGTTTGTTGTTGCTGGGGTGGTATTTTGTTGCGGGGTTCCTTTGTTACTGGGGGGAATCTATTGTTGCTGGCTGCATGGGATTTATTTATATTTAACAAATTCCGTACAAATTACTTAGCAGCACAAGGAAGAGTGGCACTGGAGGTGGGTGGGGGGGACCAAGGAACAGTGCTTGCAGATAAGTAGGGGGGTAGAGACAGGGGGTGACTCAAAAGAGGGGGAGTTACTGCACCTATTCTCTAAGAAAAAAAAGCCCTGCATATTCCTATGGAGAAATAAAAAAATATTAGCCTTGTGCGGCGACTTGTCTGTTTAGGCAATTTTTTTTTTTAATGTGTTTCTTTATTTAGTACTTAAGTTAAAATCTGCATTTTGTTGGGTGATGGGAGAAAGAGATGAAGTCAATAGAAGACCGGGATGATCTATATTATTAAAAAGTTGTTTTTTTCCCTCATTGAATACTGGCGTGAATAGAACATCCCACGATTGATATTTGATGTATGATTGTAGTCTAGTTTTTTTGGACTCCCCTTTTTAATTGCCAATGTGAAATATGTTCGTTTGTGTTTGTAATTTGTTTAAAAAAAAAATCAATAAAATTGTTTGTAAAGCAAAAAAAAACAAAACCTGCACTTCGTGCCAAAAAACTACTTTAAACAGCCAAAACTATAATATATTTTCTCAGAGCAGAGACCCTGCGAAATAAAATGGTGGAAGTTGCAACTTGTTATGTCGCCACTGTTTATCAAATGCTTATTTTTGGGAAAAGTTACACTATAATTAATGTTGGTACACAGAAGTATAATACAATAGCCATTTCTTTGAAAGAATAATACCAACAGGATTGCAATGAGTACATAGACACCGAATATGTCAAGTCTAAAGTACGCTCATCAAATGGAAAAAAATATGGTACTCAAAATCGTCCATAGACGAGGCTTTACAAGCCCTTACGAACTATGACCCTGTAGCAGTGGTGTATTTAGGTTTCGTGCGGCCCTAGGCAACACAAAAATTGCCCCCCCTACAGAGAGACCCTGACACCAACCAACACCCCCCTTTACCACGAAGAGAGCCTGACATTGACCAACAACACCCCAGCTCCCCCATCATCACCCAAGAGAGCCTTCCACTACCATTGCCCCCCATAAACTGGCAATTCCCCCACCCTGGCAAGAGATAAGACAGAAACTCCCCTTCACAGCTATGTACATCCCTGGGAACAAGAGTCAGGCTCTGCATACACCATCAAATAGCCCGCAGCCTCCCTCAGATTCCACCTGGTCCCCGTGCTGTGTGTGTTCCTTCTTTTGGGGGACGGCTCAGCCCCCGCAAAAATGCTGCTGACCCCCTGAAAAGTGCAGCCCTAGGCATGCCCCTGTGTATGTGTAGTGCAGCCCTAGGCAAGTGCCTTGTGGTAAATACGCCCATATATTTTATATATATATATATATATATATATATATATATATATATATATATATATATATATATACACACACACACACACACACATACATATACACACACATATATATATATATATATATATATATACACATACACATACACACACACACACACATATATATATATATATATACACACACATATATATATATATATATATATATATATATATATATATATATATATATATACACACACACACACACACACACACACACACACACATATATATATATATATATATATATACACACACACACACACACATATATACACACACACACATATATACACACACACACACACACACACACAATGGATCTTTAGACTGCCTCGGCGGTAGAATTTTCTTCAAAAAATATCTCCCTGAAAAAGCCCATGAGGACGAAACATGTAGGGAGTAACAACAATTACATATGCAAGTTTGAATCTCAGTTTTACTTTTAGTACTGAACTTGTTTTTAGGTTTCTGCATTTTTTTCCTTTTGTGTTTTTTACAAAAATCTGAAAAAAAAATTATATAACTGTTTAATATGTTTTGTATTCATTTTCATGCACCCTGAAAGTCCCGTCTTCTCTATTGAATAATTAAAAAAAAAAAAAGCCATAACAAGAAACGGATACTAGCATTAAACTTTTAGCATTGTTTTGACATTTTACCAGCTATAGTAACTGGCTAAGGAGGGTTTGATTAAGCATTTGCTATATAGACCTAAGACTTCCACCATTGGTATTCTGACTGCATCATCAACCTTTGGTCTACAAATCAAGATCCAGGCTTACACACATACTTTCACCCTTTAGGTACTTTTCCACGTACTGATCCCAGGTCCCGGGATCAGGCTGAGCTTTATTCATCAGATCGAAGAAGTAACCGGAGACTGCGTTGTCTTTTAAATTCCGAGCAAGGTAAATGGTCTGCAAACAACAGAACACACTATCAGCTTTTTTGCATATAAAGTTCATGTTAAACCTTTTGGTATCAGTGAAATCGTTTTTGTGACCTACACTTGTTTTTTTTCGGGAATCAAAATTATGTTTGGGAGTCAAAACTTTATTAGGTAAACCAGTATTTCCTGGGAACTGGTGGTACTCCAAGTGGTTTCGCTTTCAGAACTTTTGGGCAATAACACTTGATAGAAGAAGTGATGGTGACCACTGTCCAAGACTAGAGGAATCTTGTTGATTGGAAAGACCTCATAATGGCCCAGGGGCGTATTTACCACAAGGCAAACAAGGCACTTGTCTAGGGCAGCATTTTTCAGGGGGGCAGCACCTCCCCCCCCAGAAGAAGGGATGAAATAAGGGAAGCGCGCACCATGGGAACCAGGTGGGATCTAAGAGAGGCTGCAGGCTGCTTGATGGTGTATGTAGAGCCTGGCTCTTGTTCCCAGGGATGTCCAGAGCTGTGAAGAGGAGTGTCTTTCTATTGCCGGGATGGGGGGGGGGGGGGAAGGTAGTGGAAGCAGGAGTGTATTTACCACAAGGCAAACAAGCAATCAAGGCATTTGCCTAGGGCGGCATTTTTTTTGGGGGTGGCAGCGCCGTCCCCCAAATGAAGGAATGGCAGAAGGGACACACGCAGCTTGGGATACAGGAGGGAGCTGCAGACTGCTTGATGGTGTATGTAGAGCCTGACTCTTGTTCCTGGGGGTGTCCAGAGCTGTGAAGGTGAGTCTTATCTCTTGATGGGGTGAGGGGCGTGGGTTGCCAGTGTAAGTGGGGGCAGTGGTAGTGGAAGGCTCTCTCAGGTGGGGGATGGGGTGTTGCTGGTCAATGTCAGGCTCTCTTCGTGGGGGAGGGGGCTGTTAGTAGGTGTCAGGGTCCATGGGGGGGGGAGCCAATTTTTGTGTTGCTTAGGGCAGCATGAAACCTAAATACATCAGTGAGTGGAAGGCTGTCCTGGGTGGGGGGCAGGGATGTTGTTAGTCAATGTCAGGCTCTCTCCGCGGGAGGGGGGAAGGGAGGTTGTGCTGGTCGGTGTCCATGGGGGCAGACAATTTTTATGTTGCCTAGGGCAGCACAAAACCTAAAAACACCACTGTAATGGCCACTACAGGTATGCAAACCTGGGAGCCTGCAGAGATCCCACCAACATGGTTCACAAAAGATGCTGTCAGGAGGGTAAACTCCCCAGCATCTACCATAGATTGAAATATCAGCCCTAGCGGCACTGATCACTTAGCACGTGTCACTAGAAGTATCTATTCTCACAGGCTTCAGTGGCCAAAATGCCAAGCACAATACCCTAGGCCAGGTGTAGGCAACCTGCGCCTCTCGACCTGTTGACTACAAGTTCCATCATGCCTCTACAAGTCATAGCTGTAACTGTCAGTTTTGTAATGTTGCAATGCCTCATGGGAAATGTAGTTCCACAACAGCTAGAGAGACGCAGGTTGCCTACCCCTGGCCTAGGTGTTGGCAGAGATAGTCATTGCGAATTGTGAATACTGCAACTCCCTCCTCATTGGATTACCTTTACACAGGCTGTCCCCCCTCCAGTCCATTATGAATGCTGCTGCCAGACTCATCCACCTTACCAACCATTCAGCATCTGCCACCCTTTTCTACCAATCCCTCCATTGACTAAACTCACCCAACAAATAAAATTCAAAATACTAACAACGTCTTATAAAGCCATCCACAACTTGGCCATCAGCTAGACTACTAGAATTCCTCACACTCCATCTTCCAACTGAACTCTCCTGCCTCTAAGCAGGCTCAGCCACTCTTAAGGGCTGTCCTGACCCAATGCCAGGCCTCCTGCTTAGGAATTGGTTAGGATCCCATAAGAATGCAGGCCAGCTCCTCCTCACTCCCGCCCACTGAGTTCAGGGGAAGGTATCAGAGAGCTGATCGGGAGAGTCTCTCAGCCCTGACCCAAATTCGACACTCTGACTATCACCCAGGCTGATACTCAGCCATTTAACTAAAAAAAAGAATTAGCTAGCTCCCCCTGGCTAACTAGGAGGGTGCAACATATGTGTAGCCATCAATTACCTTGCACTTATGCTCCCAAAAGGATATTGGCACCAGCTCATACGGCAGATGGGTTTTGACCAGTCGGGGCGATGGAGTTTTATTCAATACGTCTACCCCTAAAGGAAAGAATTAAATAGTCAACATCAAGAACAGTGTTATTTTTTTTTCATGAACCAAGGTGTGTGAAACTTAATCCAAGCTTACCGATAGGAACGGGAGGTGGGGGGCACAGCTCCAGAAATGGAGAACGTACATGGGTAGGAGCACGCATGTTCTTCTCTATCTCGCCATCGTTCATTACAGAGTCCACAATCTCTTGTATCCATGTTGTGCCTAGAGAGACCTCAGAAGAAAATAGCAATTTAAAAAGAGAGAAGAAAAAGATTGTAGACTTGAAGTTTCGAAACATGTCTTTGGGCCCCACCAGCGGGTCTACTCTGACCCTGACTTACATCCTGCTGTTGGCATTAGCTGAAAAAACTCTTGTATTTCCCTCACATTAGGCCAGCCATGTGAAAGAACCATCATTAAAAAAATAAAAATTTTAGGCAACCAATTTATTCAATAATTGAGGTTCCTGTTTTATCCAATAACGATCTACTTTTTAATTTGGGAACATGGTGATCGGGGCGGGTTAGAGAATTTAGTCAGGTGAAAAACCAACAAAGACCCAAGCCTCTCTTACCTGCCTTAGGATACGTCGCTATGAGGATATCGTCTGGTCTGGCTTGAAATTTTTCCACCTTTTCCCATTGATCCGCGATGGGTTTAGATAGTGGCACTCCGTGAACTAAACATAGTGGGAACCTGTAAACTGCACTTTTCAGTAGTTTGTCCATGTTGGCCTCCTTAGATACCTACAAAGAGAACAGAAATGAGGAGCTTGCAATTTTGTAACCTCTGATTGGTACAGATTGGCTTTATACTGTATATATATTTTGGAAATGGGGAGACATAAAAGACAATCCATTATGCATCCTAAAGGCAGATTGTAACGGAACCGACCCAGTCTGCGCTTGGGTACTTCTGTTAGACTACTGCTTCCCCATCCGAACATCGACCACAGCCAACCATACAAGACTAGACACCAGTCTTGAAGTAAACCAGGAAGTAGACCTCTTTATTTTAACACAGATAAAAGATATACACATTCAAGGGAACAACCCCCCCCCCCTCCCTGCATAATTACACAGGGCGGGGCAATCTACATTTAGTAACAAGAGACACCAGCAGACAGTCCCATCAGGAGGGAGTGCTGCTGGAGACACCCCCCATCAACCCAATACACACAAACACATACATCCCATAATAGTTTGCTCCCAAGCAAGACACACAATAGAACAATGGGATGCAACCACATGGCATCAAACAATCAACAACCCCCCACCCCAATATCGGGACAGATCACCCTGTACCCCTAACAGGCACAGGGTGACTTACACATAAGAGGGATATGGGGAGCTGAGACGGGTCTCCCCACCTCTCCAAAGCGAGTTGGGTTCCATGGGCCCCCCACCCCCAAAGTGACTCCCGTCACATAGAAGATTTCCCCACAGGAATGAATGAGAGGAAGAGCCTGGCCGAGAGGACTGTGCGGCTCCCAGGCAGCTGTACATGGAAAATCTAATCGAGATAAGGACAACTGAGTATACAATTTGACGGCTTGCTGCCAGGGGGAAGAGACCATTTTAGGGAAACTGTATTAAAGGTCTCCAGGATACGTGCATTACCTTCAGTGACCAGGATCCAGTGAATGAGCATGAACCCCCCAGTGATCGGTCTCCAAAGTATATCCATTAACCCCTCAATTACCAGTCACCAGTGCAAATGCATTAATCCCTCCCTATCCTTGCTTCTCCATAGCATAGACCATTGTTTCTCAACCTTTGTTCAGTCAAGGAACCCTTTAAAATTATGGACAGTCCCGAGGCACCCCATTCTAAAATGGGGTGCCTCAAGACTGTCCATAATTTGAAAAGGGCACCCCATTCTAAAATGTAAAAAAACTATAACAGCAAACATCCACACATGTAGGACACCCAACATTAGAGGCGATTTAGTCTTCCAAAGCAAATACACTTTTGCACACTGGTACTGACTAGTATTCCCACGTTTCTCTTCTCCTTCAGTTTTTCATCACGGAGATAATGTGACCCCAGCAAAGATGGAGAGGGGCGGGGGAGGGTCAAACTAGGATGCTGTGCAGGCAGCTGACATCCTCCTTATCAACTGATGATGTCATTGCTTGTCAGGACGCTGGTGGCAAGAAGGTCGGCTTGTTCCACCCGCTGGATTGTATACAAGTTTTGGGCAATTTGTAGACATTTTGCCAAGGCACCCCTGAAGAAACCTCAAGGCACCCCTGAAGAAACCTCAAGGCCTGGGCACCCTGGATGAGAAAGGCTGGCATAGATTAATGTGTCTCAATCCCCACTTTACACAGATCACACCCTTCTTTTTGTTCATAAAGAGACCCTGTCACCAACTTACAAAAATTGCAGATAAAAGTACACTAAAATCTGATTTTTTACATACCTACTTGCAGGGTCTTTCATTCCATAAAGTATTTTTTATTCACTCGCAATGTGAAAACTTGATTACTTCATGAGAGTCGTTTTTCTAGCACAAGCCCCCCCCCCCCCCCCCCCCTCGCGTGCCATAGCCTCTCCCTTAAGAGGGTCTAATAACTGTTCTGTGCTGGCCCAGCTACTCCACGCCACCTCTCTTCTCCCTACATAACATTTTACGTGGCTGCTGAGGGAGGAGCGAAGGGGGATACTATAGAGTAAGCATTCTCAAGCAGGGTTCCTCCCGAAGTTGTTAGGGGTTCTTTAACCGCCTCCCATATAAGGAAATTTCGGGTGGGCGTTGGCTCTCTCGTCATGACGTCCTCCCACTATAACTGCGCATGCGTGCCTCCGGGGATGTGTTGATCGGTGGTGCGCTGTGTCCCTGGGACGGATCGCAATAAAGAGCCGACGACACAGACTTTATCATGTGATACAGATGATCAAATGTAAATAGGAAATGTTAGTGATCGGCAGTCCTCTCCTCATGATGACAGCGAGTTAGGAGAGAAGAGCCGATAAGCGGCATTCCTCAGAGGGGACATCTACACTGATCATCAGTGTAGCCCCATCAGTGCCACCTGTTAGTGCCCATAATTGCCACATATCAGTGCCCATCAGAGCTACCTTTTAGTGCCGCCTAGCAGTGCCAGTCAGTGACGCCTATCAGTGCGCCTAACAGTTCCAATCAGTGCCAGTCAGTGACGCCTAGCAGTGCCAGTCAGTGACGCCTATCAGTGCCGCCTATCTTATGCCAGTCAGTGACGCCCATCAGTGACGCCTATCTTATGCCAGTCAGTGACGCCTATCAGTGCGCCTAACAGTGCCAGTAAGTGCCGCATCTGTAGGAGATATTTACAGTACCTATCGGTAAGCCTTAGCATAGGCTCCCCTGTAGGTAAAAGAGAAACAAAAGCATTTACTACCACTTAAAATCATTAGTGGGTTCAAATCTAACATTTTTTGAACAAATAAATTTCTAATAGCGACGGTGGTTTTTATTTGGGAAATAACAGATAAGATAATAATAAATAATAATAATAATAATGAAAATTATTTGGAAGTAATAATAATAATAATAATAATAATAATTTGGAAATAATATTTGGAAATAATAAAAAAATGATTTGGAAATAACAATTATATAATAACAATAATATTAAATAATAATAATAATATAATAATAAAAATGATCTGGAAATAATAATGAAACAAATTTGGAAATAAAAAATGATTTGGAAATATTATTAATAATAAAAACAATAATATTAAATTATTATTTGGGAATTATATAATAAAATGATTTGGAAATAATTATTATTTGGAAATAATAAAATAAAAATGATTTGAAAATAATAATAACAACATTTCAAAATTGAATGTTAAAAGCAAATGCAAATATTTGTCAAATAAATAAAATAAGTCACTTTATTGAACGTGCCACCAAGACTTTTTAATCTACCAGTGTATGGCCGGAGTTTTAGTTAAATTGTACTTTGTAGAAGGGTGGTAAACCCCCCCCCCCCCTCTACAAGTCAAATTGACAAAGGGATTCGGATTACACAATGTGACATAACAGGTCATCCCTGTAGTAGGATTGCGTGACTCCACAACGCACACACCCACATACATTCACACGCATGTTTATACACAGGCGGAAACCTCCGCTAATTATTGTGTATCTGGGAACCATTTCCTATTTATTATTAAAGACTATTTTTATGCAACAGAAATACCTTTTTTTAGCTCTCATCATGGAGGAATCTGTCGTGTAGTGTGGATGGGGGAATCTGTCGTGTAGTGTGGATGGGGGAATCTGTCGTGTAGTGTGGATGGGGGAATCTGGTCATTTTTTTGGACTCTATATGTATCTGGACAGCCTTAGTCCCAAATCCTCCATTCTGAATTCCTGTCTGCAGATCGGAATTTGGTCCCAGAACTTCCAGTTTCTCCAGTTGTGCCTTTCTGGCATTCCCAGTCCATAATTCCCCTTCCCCCCAGGGAGGAGAGCTGGGTGGGAAGTTTTCCATTTCTTCCTGTGGCTCTGTGACCTCGCTCCCACTATATGGATCCCCCCTCCTGATCCCAGCCCCCATATTCCCTCTCCCAGACACAATACACCAGCCCAAGGCTCTGATCCTGGATCTCCTGGACCATACCAAGTCTTCCCTAGATCTGGGGTCCCCTGCCTGCTCCCCCTCACCTGCTGATCCTGCTCCATTCTTCAGCCTGTCTTCTTCATGTGTTCTCCTTCCTGTGTCAGCTTCCCCTAAACCCACCCTGAACCACAGTCCTCCCTCATTAACCCTTCAATGGCTAGACTCCACTGTATGTGCATTAACCCATCAATGACCAGACTCCACTGTATGTACTTTAACCCTGCAATGACCAGACTCCATTGTATGTACATCAACTCCTCACTGGTCAGACTCCACTGTATGAACATTAACCCATCAATGACCAGACTCCACTGTATGTACTTTAACCCTGCAATGACCAGACTCCATTGTTTGTACATCAACTCCTCACTGGCCAGACTCCACTGTATGTACATTAACCCTTCAATGACCAGACTCCACAGTATGTACATTAACCCCTCAATGGCCAGACTCCACTGTATGTACATTAACCCCTCAATGGCCAGACTCCATTGTATGTACATTAACCCTTGAATTATCAGATCCCATATTATGTGAATTACCTCTCAATGTCCAGACTCCAATATACGTTCATTAATCATTTAATGACCAGACTCCATTTTACATGCATTAGTCCCCCAATGACCAGGCTCCGTGGTATGTGCATTAACCCCTCAATGCCCAGACTCGCCCAGACTTCGCTGTATGTGCATTAAAGTGTTACTAAACCCACAACAGTACAATCAGTCTGTAGATGCAGCAAAGCATGCTTGTTATACTGTGGAACCTAAGGGGTTAATCCTCTGCATTGTGTAAAAAAAAGGCTGTTTGATCCTGTCTTCTCTGATCCTCATATTTTTCTACTGTACACATACTACGGCCAATTTAGACAGGAGCCAATTAACCTACCAGCAAGCCTTTGGCGTGTCTGAGGAAACTGGAGTAGCCGGAGAAAAACCCACGCAGGCACAGGGAGAGCATGCAAACTCTAGGCAGGTGGTGCTGTGGTTGGGATTCGAACCAGCGACCCTGGTACTGCCCCCCCCCCCCCTTGAGGGTTAGGGATTGATGGAAACTGACAGCGCTATATAAAAATCTGCAATAATAATAATAATGACCAAATTCCATTGTATGTGCCGTAAAATGGTTGTAAAGGCAGAAGGTTTATTTACCGTCCTGTATTCTATTCATGAGGGTATAAAACCTTTAATGTGCAGCGCCCCCTAGCAGCCCCCCCTTAATACTTATTTGAGCCCGAGTCAGGAGCACTAGCGGGGGACCTGAGAAGAGGAGGATCCAGGCTGCTCTGTGCAAAACCATTACACAGAGCAGGCAAGTATGACATGTTTGTTATTTAAAAAAAAAAAAAATGGATCCTATATAACGGCTTTAAATCCTCCAGTGCAAGCAAAAACTTTTGTTTAGTTTGGGAGAGAGAGAGGGATTAGACCCCCTGTCAGGTATTTATTGCTGTCTGTGTGATTCACCCTCCAATGACCAGACTCCACTGTATGTGCATTAACCCCTCAATGACCAGACCAGGGACGGACGGACGGACTATTCCAGCACTCAGGCACTGCCCGAGGGCCCAGTGTCAGTAGGGAGCCCCATGGAATGCCCCGGTACCTTTTTTATAGACTTTTTTGGGTGTGCTTTGAGTGTGGGCAAGGACACGGGCCCCATGATCCCCTATTGCCCAGAGGCCCCATGAGTTGTCAGTCCGCCCCGGGCCAGACTCCACTGCATTTGCATTAACCCATCAATGGCCAGACTCCACTGTATGTGCATTAACCCCTCAATGACCAGACCAGGGACGGACTATTCAAGCACTCGGGCACTGCCCGAGGGCCCAGTGTCAGTAGGGGGCCCCATGGAATGCCCCTGGTACCTTTTTTTATAGGCTTTTTTGGGTGTGCTTTGAGTGTGGGCAAGGACACGGGCCCCATGATCCCCTATTGCCCAGAGGCCCCATGAGTTGTCAGTCCGCCCCGGGCCAGACTCCGCTGCATGTGCATTAACCCTTCAATGGCCAGACTCTGCTACATGTGCATTAACCCTTCAATGGCCAGACTCTGCTGCATGTGCATTAACCCCTCAATGGCCAGACTCTGCTGCATGTGCATTAACCCTTCAATGGCCAGACTCTGCTGCATGTGCATTAACCCTTCAATGGCCAGACTCTGCTGCATGTGCATTAACCCCTCAATGGCCAGACTCTGCTGCATGTGCATTAACCCTTCAATGGCCAGACTCTGCTGCATGTGCATTAACCCTTCAATGACAAGACTCCACTGGATGTACATTGCCCCTTAATGCCCAGACTCCATTGAAAGTACATTAACTCTTCAATGACCAAACTTCATTGTATGTACATTAATCCTTCAATGACCCTTTTCTTGTGAATGTGGATGGAGAGAGATTCTTCTTTTATTCATTCTCATTTGAATTTCTCTATAATGCAATATTATTGCTGACACCGTATGCGTGACTTTTTCTGTCAACCACAAGCGGGGCCCCACACTGGCATTCAGGGGGTAGGCCAAGCCTTAATCTGGGCCTGCTCTCTGGAATGCTCCTATGCCTCAAGATGGCCTCATAAGATATGATAAAACTTTGCTTCCCTCACCAGTTGTATCAACATTCTCTCTTTTGGTTAACTTTCCTACACGCTGATTTTTTTCAGTCTCTGTGTATTGTTATTGCTTTTCGGTTCATTTCAGTCTAATACTAGATAATGAGCCCCCCGGGATTATTATTATTATACAGTATTTATAAAGCGCCAATAGTTCGCTCAGCGCTGTACATTACAAAGGGGGACAGAACATGTGACAGAACAATACCAATACAATGCAAAACATGAGGGGATCGAGGGCCCTGCTCCTTGGAGCTTACAATCTAGGAGGGAGGGGATGGTGGTACAGGACGAGATAGCTGTGGGGGATGGAGTGGTAGGAAGAGTGGAGGAGGTCAGCAAGTTAGCAGGGGGTGGGGTAGGCTTCCCTGAAGAGATGGGTTTTCAGGGTGCGCCTAAAGGAGAGGAGAGTAGGTGATAATCTGATGGGTTGGGGCAGGGAGTTCCAGAGGATGGGTGACACCCTGGAGAAGTCCTGGAGGGAGGAGGAGACCAGGGAACTAGAGAGAAGGAGGTCTTGTGAGGAGCGGAGTGTGCGTGTTGGGCGGTACTTGGATATTAGGTCGGTGATGTAGTTCGGGGCAGTATGGTGGACAGCTTTGTACGTCAGTGTTAGGATTTTGAATTTGATCCGTTGCGCAATCGGACGCCAGTGGAGGGATTGGCAGAGGGGAGTGGAGGACACTGAGTGGAGGCCAGTGGAGGGATTGGCAGAGGGGGGTGGCGGAGACGGAGCGGTTGGAAAGGTGAATGAGTCTGGCAGCCGTATTCAGGATGGACTGAAGCGGGGATAGCCAGCGGCGAGGCAGGCCAGTGAGGAGGGAGTTGCAGTAGTCGAGTCGTGATATGATGAGGGAGTGGATGAGCTGTTTAGTGGTTTCTGGGGTTAGGAACGTGCGGATTTTGGCGATGTTGCGGAGGTGGAGTCTGCATGAGTTTGTTAAAGATTGGACTTGGGGCTGGAAGGAGAGGTTGGAGTCCAGAATGACACCAAGTACTCTGGCCTGCGGGGCGGGTTTGATGGTGGCGTTGTTGGACTTGATGGAGAAGTCAATGGGGGGTGGTGTCCGGGCTGGGGGGGAAGACAAGAAACTCGGTCTTGGAGAGGTTGGAGAGATTCACAAAGCGGATTACATTTGTTTCAGTGTAATTCCCATATCCCCCTGCTATAGTAAGAAAAATAAATAATAAAATACATTGTAACAACTGCTGCCTCCATGTTAATTCATTCTTCACAGCATTAACCCCTCAACAACCACACTCCAGTGTATGTGTGTCAACTCCTCAATTCAAGTGTATATAAGCCCAAGAATACCCCCCTCCACCCCATGACCAAACTCCTGATAATGTGTGAAGCACATATTATAGAATCTGGTCATTGAAGGGTTAACACCCCCCCTCCATGACCAAACTCCTGATAATGTGTGTTAACCCTTCAATGACCAGATTCTGTAATATGTGCTTAACCACCCCCATGACCAAATTCCTGATAATGCGTGTTAACCCTTCAATGACCGGATTCTAGAATATGTGCTTTTTAACCCCCCCCGACTCCTTAAAATGTGTGTTAACCCTTCAATGACCAGATTCTATGTGCTTTAACCCCCACCCATGACCAAACTCCTGATAATGCGTGTTAAGCACATATTATAGAATCTGGTCATTGAAGGGTTAACACCCCCCCTTCATGACCAAACTCCTCATAATCTGTGTTAACCCTTTAATGACCGGATTCTAGAATATGTGCTTTAACACTTCCCCCCCCCCCCCCCCCCCCCCGACTCCTTAAAATGTGTGTTAACCCTTCAACGACCAGATTCTATGTGCTTTAACCCCCATCCATGACCAAACTCCTGATAATGCGTGTTAGCCCCTCAATGACCAGATTCTATAACACTGCATGTGCTTTAACCCCACAATCACCAGATTGTATTTGATTTTCATCTCAATGACCAGATTCAATTGTATGTTCTTTAACCCCTTAAATTTCAGTCTCCATGGTATGTGCATTAACCACTCAATGGCCAGATTTAATTGTACTGTATGTGCTTTGACCTCTCAGTCTCCCGACACCGTTCACTCTTTATTGACCAGACTCCAATGTATGTGCAATGAAACTGATCTCCAGGTATCTTTGTTTCGTTTGCGTGGTTTTTTTTTTTTTGCAGAGTTAGTTACATTGCTCCAGCCTGGACCAATGTAAGTATACAGATCCCATACCTGGCCAATCTCTGTGGCAGAGGAACCACTGCAGTTGTTGCTCCAACGATCCTTGCTCTCTTCCAGGCCCAATGGCAAGTGGCTACCCTGCTGCATAGTGAGCACAGGCACGGGCATCATTCACAAAGCGCCTTGAATAGGTGTTCCCTGATTGGATGAGGTGGAGAGTGTAAATCACCACCCCACCTCATCCAATCAGAGGATGCATTGCATTCATTGTGAAGACCTATG